GGTGAGAGGCGTCGCGTATCGATTGCAGCCCAGCTATTACAAGATCCCAGTAAGTACCACTGCACAGATTTTCAATATAAAACAAAGCACTCTGCACTCTTGACCTCATAAACCACTTTAAACTACAAAAGCATTTATATTCTGTAATTCAGCAAAAGCTAGTCTAGTGATGACAGAAAAGGATGAGCAGTAACTCAGGTCTGCTCATTCATCTACCAGGTTGATCTTGGAGAATAGATGAATTTAAAACCTTAGGGACTGAATATAACTTTAGCCTTGTGTTTATCCCTTGTTAGTCTTCCAGGACTCACCATTTCCAATGTATGAAATGTTGGTTGTGGCATGTGGATTTATAGTTTTTGAGCATGTAAGAGCCATACCTATGCAAGCATTGAGCCTTCTAGTGGAGTAGCTGCCATGTAGCCATGTACATGTGAGTGTCATGTGCATCCCAGAGCCAAACTGTAGTCAGCACAGGAGATTGGCTCATTGGGAAAAGGCATAAAAAAAACCAGAGTGTATGCTTTGAAATGTAATAGCCCTCATGTTGCATTGCCCTTGATAAGAAACCAGATATTGATGAATATTGCAGTCTATATGTGGTTGTAGATGTACTGTAAAGAAAAAGAAATCCATGAATGAAAATCAAAGCAGAGTAACTAGAAAGATTAGCCATGAGAAACAGCACTGTAAATTTTATCAGTTTTAAGATAGTTTCCAAAAAAAGGTTCCAGAATCTTATGCAGTGAATGTATAGGATGCTTTTATTGGATTCTGGAGTCCTTGCAGTGGTGCAGATGTGCTAGGACTGTGTACCAGGCAGGAAAAAGCATTTAAATAGCAAAGTGAGGTATATCACTCATAGTGTGTGCTACTGGTGACTCCTGGAGAGTTAATTAGGTGTAGTTATTGCTCAGTAAGTTCACTAAACTCTATAGTAAACACTGCAGTAATTCTGTGTCGACAAACCTATAGAGTGAGATCTCCCCTCTTATCCTGATCAAGACTGACCTGCCCTCCTCTGTGCTGTCTCATCTATGTAAAAATAATGACTTTGACTATAACTTTTCCCCTTCCATGTGCAATAAAATAATTAAGAAAATGCAGTAAAAAACTCCTACCTCTCTCATCTGTGCAATTATATATGCTGTATTTTAGCATAACTTAATTTGTTCATAATGAATTATGTGCATATATAGATATAATTAAGTTTAAAGTTTCTAGGTAGTTATGTCAGTTATGTTTCCATTTTTACACATGCTGAAATTATCATTATTGTTCTTAGAAGCAGATGTATACATCAAATCTATTTTTCTAATTTTCAGATTTCACCTGAGCTTCAAAAGCATATCATGCTCTGCTCCTGCAGTAGTTTCTTATGTCCTTGTTCCTAGTGATTGAAACTGAAGCACTGAAGCTAATTAAAACTGAAAGATCACATCATGGCAATATCTATGCATACTCTGCTTTCCATGTGCAATTTCACACATAAAGTAATTTCTATACTATTTTGCCAAATGAGCTTCAAAGGCAGAAGCTGTAACATTTACCCCCCCCCTCTACCTGCATTTTAATGCTATTTTTTCTTGTGATTTTACAGAGGTCATGCTACTTGATGAACCAACAACAGGGCTGGACTGCCTAACAGCAAACCAGATTGTCTCACTGCTCTCAGAACTTGCACACAGAGACAGGATTGTGATTATTACGATTCATCAGCCTCGCTCAGAACTCTTCAGGGTAAATGACACCTACTCACTATTTGGAGTACCTAGGTTCTTTTCAGGATAAAAGTATAAGATCCAGTACAGTTGCCTTCAAAAGCTCTCTTCTTTGCTCACTCCAAGACTTACCTTGAACTAGCTCTGGCCAGTCACAGGGGACTATAGAACACATACTACCCTGTGAAAATAGTACACACACTGACCATGTGCCTAACCTCTGGGTTATGCAGCTACCCAAATCAAAACCACTGGGAGAAGCCATGTAAACCCCCATCTGTGCAGGCACTGTGAAAACAAGCACTTTCTTTATCTTTAAATATTCATATTTCAGAACACTTGCAACTTGAGACAGATAAAGCCATGATTTGAAATGAAAATTTAAAAAATTCTGCCTTTTTCCTGTGTCAAGTGATGTGGGTACATCTTGATCACGGGATGGGGCAGTCTTGCCTTGCAGGGCTTATGCCTGGGGAGAGCTTTCTCCCTTCCCATTACTGTTGTGCTCTCTGGCACATCCACCACCCACCACATGAATGCAAGGTACATCTTCCCTGGCTGACTGAATTGCATGTAAGTGATCATGAAGCCAGAGGAGAGTGACAGTGGTGGTCTGGACTGAAAGCCATCCTGGTGCCTTGGGAATACGGGTTGGTCATAGTCGGTGGGAACCCTGCCCTTGAAAAGCAGTGCTGTTAAAGTCCTTAAGCAGTTCAGTACCATCTTTCCAACAACCTGGGGATTTTAGATTGGGGTTATTAGGCACCAAAGGAAGTCAAGCTATAAGTGAAAGTGCATTAGAAAAAAAGTCAGAAGTCCACAGCTCCCATTTCTGTTTTTGGATTACTTCTGTGCTGCTGTCACTGACATGTTTTGCGAACCACTAGTTTTAAGAGCTTACAAAGTTTTCATCTTGTATAACCAACGAGAGGTGCCATAGAAAGGAGAAACTTTCTTTGATAGAAGTGAACTAGGGAAGTTTGAATGTTACAAAACTATTTTTCCTATCAAAACATTTTTATTATCAATACAATAGCCAGGAATTACCATGATGCTTCTTGGTATGTATTGTTAGTATGTTAATTTTCTCCCCACAGTTGTTTGACCAAATAGCCATCATGAGCTTTGGAGAAATGACTTTCTGTGGCAACCCAATGGAAATGATCACATTTTTTAGTGGCTGTGGCTATTCATGTCCTGAACAATCAAATCCTTTTGACTTCTTTGGTAAGTTTTTCTAAGTTTTTTTGGAAAACATGAGTTTCATTTAGACAAACAAGTTCTTTGCTTCCCCAAATTAAAATTTTTCCAGAGATGTGTTTGAATTTTCCCCCAACTTTGCAAGTGTTCTTATCTCAGAGAAGAGCAAGGGCTGGGCCCAAATAACCTGTACTGATACCATAAACCAGCAAAAGTTTGCTCTTGGTCTGAAATACAGCAAAAAGAAGTAAACTACTAATAAAAAAGGAATCTCAGCTTCATGAAACCTGTGGTTTCCATGGCATCTCCCTATGGCTGTTCACTGAACATTAGAAAATCAGTTTTACCCCAAAACTCTGGAAGGTCCCATGCTCTTACAAACTCTGTGATGCCAAGCAACTAAAGATAGTTGTTGCCTGGAGGGAAGGATGTGGAATAAATAGGGGTTAACTGAGGCATCAGTTTCCAGATACATTCTGAGTTTTAGGTTTCCAAAAGTTTGGGGAGATGCTAATACCAGGGTGAGCTACTGTGTTAAGCAGGGAAATGGACCAATCCCAAAAACTGCATTCACAAACATGGCACATTCAGAGAAGGCAGTGTTTTTCTATTGTCTAGATGGCATCCTAAACTCAGAGAAGAGAGGATGATTGTTGACATGAAGCTGGAATGGGATGAAGCTGAAAGTACTGGTGTGACAGTGAGGATAATTTTGCCTTCAAGAGTTTGAATAGTCTTGAAAAGCACAGATGATTTGAGATTTGGACCCATTTTTTCAAAAGCTTGGTAAAGAGAGCACTGCATTCTTCAAATGTCAACATTTGAATGTGACAAGAAAAGGAAAAAATGCAGTTTAGAGCAAAGAATCACCAGAATATTTAGTCTTTGGAAAATTGGTAGTTTATATTTTTTGTGTGATTTAATGATGTGAATAAAAGGATGGATTCTGATATAACCTACACCAACAGCAGAGGAAAATAGGTCCCATGTATTGAGTATGGATTATATTATTGAAATGTCATATGTTGTGGTTAATATAAAAGTGCAAGTAGGCATTAGCTATTTGGTCTAGTGACTTGTTAGTGCTGTTATTTTTTAAAACACATCTTCTTGCCTTTGTTTTGTGCGTGACTTACAGCAAGTCAATCTGGCCAAGCTTTAAAGAGCATGACTGCATTTTGTATGCTCATATTTACAAAAGTGATTACTTCATTTTGGGTATGTTTACCATTAAAAACAATTTTGCTGAATTCCAGCTTTCAGGACACCAGCACAGTATTCATAGGCTTAATTCAGGTTTTGAGGACAAATTAAGAATCTTGGACAAAGGGCTCCTTTTCTCTTGTTCAATTTGTATTTTGAACTTGAGCTTAATACCAGAAAACTGGAATTTAAGGACAACAGAAGCCTTAAGAATAAATAACTGATAAAGAAAGCAGACATAGAAGAATAATAGAAAAATCTATAAGCACAGCTACTCCTGAGAACAACAGTCTAGTTTTTGAAACCATAGATAATTAATTGCTATTGGAGTAAAACAAAATTTCTAATGCATTTTAGCAGAATTGCTGAATTTGTACAACTTGTACAAATAGCACACACAAAGTTCCTCACTGCCAATATTAGAATTGCTGGTGTTGGGAATAGGTATAGGTGTATTTATTAGAAAGAAGAGAGATGTTACAGAAACCTTGAATACTTTCAATGGACCTTTTCTTCTTTGCAGATTTTAGGTTAGAGACAAAGAAAGGTTAATTTCAAAGGAGGAAGAAGTATGAAGGGAAAGTGATGTGAATATATAGTAAACTCTTTGTAAATTTACAGTGGATCTGACATCTGTGGACACCCGAAGCAAGGAACGTGAACTTGAAACCTACAGTAGGGTTCAGGTAATCGTGTCAGCCTACAAAAACTCGGAGATCTTTAGCAAAGTACTGGCAGTCATTGAAAAAACCAAGCGTATGAAAGAGCTGCCACCAATACCATTCAAAAACAAAGACTCGCCCAGTGCCTTTTACAAATTATGGATTCTTTTACGGTAAGGTTTTTTCTTTCTTATTTTCTTTCTTTCTTTTGAGAAAAATATGTTTTTTTTCCTCCTTATCCACTAATCTCTCAGTTTTCCCCCCCCATGCCTGTAAATGCACTTCCTTGTTTCTTTTTTGTCTACCATTGTACTCGTCACTATCTTTTTTTAATATGACTTCTTTGTGGACATTGTGTATGTAAGATTTGTTCAAAGTTGAATACCCTACCAACACATTGTCAGTCATAGATAACAAGTATATTGTTATTGTTTTGTTTCATTATCAGGAGGACAACAAGAAACTTTTCCAGAGATAAGATGGGCGTCATCATGCGTCTCCTCCAGAATCTTTTATTTGGCTTGTTTGTAGCCTTTTTCCTTCTTAGACTAAGGAATGACCTGGAAAAAGGAGCTGTGCAGGACCGTGTGGGGCTTATCTACCAGTGCGTGAGTGCCCCCCCCTACACAGGGATGCTCAATGCTGTTGCCCTTTGTGAGTTCCTGTCTTATGTGCAGCAGCAGGTATTGCTGCCACTGTTTTGTATGTAGGAACAAGTCTTTTTTGAAGGTAGCAATTTAAAGGTTCTTAACAGTTGTAGGCAATGTCAGAGCTAATACAGAAGCATGACATTCAAAGGTGAAGCAACAGAAAGCTTTGCAAAACAGAAGAAAGATTAGCCCATCAGAGGGGGTCCTGGTTCACTGTGCTTACTGAAGGAATATGCCTTGATCCCTGCCTCTCCTTTTTGCAGCTGGCCTGTGTACAGAAGCTTCACTCTGAGCTGTGCATGACCCCTTCACTTGCCTGTGTGTAGCATTTACACAGGCAAGACAACATCTAGGTCTGCTAATATCTGGAGTGAGGTCAATACCAAAGACATGGAAAGGGTAGAAATACAAAACAGCTTTGACAGCAATTAAGGAAAATTAGGTTTAAGAGTATGACATGATGCTTAAGTTTTTCTTAGAGGGTGTTTCCCTTACAGCTGCCATGCTAAGATCACAAATAGTATTTACAGCCCTAAAAACTGTTCTGCTCATGTAGTGGAACATGCACTGCTGTCATCACTTTGGATTCAGAGCACCTCAGTAAATTATTCAGCAGTGACAGTTTTTTCATGTCTTTAATTTGTACCTGCAAAAAGAGAAGGCTGTCCTGCATGCTGCCTAGTCAGGCATCTTTCATGAAGTTTACCAGCTTTTGCAATCTGCATGGAGAAAATTTTGCGTTTATAATGGGGGGAAAAGTGATCAGAATGGTTTAGACACAATGTTTATGATATATTCTCAAAGTTGTCTCTCTGCCGCAGATCATTTTTGCTAGCAACAAGCCTTGGTCTCTTTATTCAATGGTGATTTAATGTATTTCTTATGTATTTCATCCAGTTTCACCTTTACGTGCTATCAGTGATCAAGAAAGTAAAGATGGCTTGTACAAGAAGTGGCAAATGCTTTTAGCTTATATAGTACATTTCCTGCCCTTCAGTGTCATCAGTGTGGCAATTTTCAGCACCTTTATATACTGGTAAGCACTTCTCTTTCAGGCAGTGTTAAAACACTTGCTGAGTAAGTCAGTCAGCAGTTTTAATGGGCCTGGGACAGCATTCCTGTGTCATACCAAAAGCAGGAAGTATCATTTTACACTACATTTAGGAAGATAGAAAATAAGAGGGGAAAAAACAAAACAAAACATGAGGAAGACAACAGTGAGTATGTGAAAGTAACAAAGATTCATTTTTTTCAGGGACATTTAAGGTTTAGCTACAGTGTATGAAAGTGATGACATTTGGATCCCTCTCTTTCATACTCCAGAGAAAGGCACTGAAGTGGACCTCTGATAGTGGGCGAAAGTGTTTGATTGTAAAGCTTTCTTCTTCCCCCAGTACATTCATTTTCTCACGTCACTGTGAAGTAGTAGTACCTCAGAATGGAAGGATGAAATATTTTGTCGTTCATTGCCTTCTCTGTTATACACATCTGCTCTTCATTTCTGTTCCATTGATTTCCCACCTTCTTCTTGCTCATTCTGAACTTAATAGAGCCCATGGCTGTTGGCATAAGTCAATAGCAAAATAATAAGGACCAATTTCTGTCCTTCAAACTTTTTCTGTTTTTTTTTTTGTTGTCTTGATTATGAAGGGGGGTCTGTAGTGCACTAATGTTTAGTTCAAGCAAGGCCATCTTTGTCCCCTTAGCAACCTGAGCTTTTATTTCTGCAAGGTGTCACGGCTGCTTACTTCAGGCAGTGTTCCCTGAGAAGTATTTTTTCACAAACAGAAATTCCTTCTCCTTCCACTAAATATTTAGAGGGAGGCACTGTGTTCATCAGCCCTTCCATTTCTACCTGCTAGTGAGCTGGTTGCCATGAAGGCAGCCGTTTGGAAAGCACATTTTCAGGCTCTATGAGGGAAGGTTTGCGAAGCTCCTGAAGATCATGAGCTGCTGTTTGTCATGCTCACTCATACAGGAAATAAATATGGGCAAAGACTTTGCCTTTCTGCTTTATTAGCTTAAACACAATCAACAATAAAGAGCATGGTTCCGGTTAATGGATAATATCTACAGATATTAACCTCTGCATATCTTTGCTACCATGTGGTTGTTTGTAAGCCATTAGTGATGTGTCAGAGTGATTTCATAGTGCCCTTAGAACTCTTGGGGCAAGCAGTTTCTCTGTGAAATTTTGAAGATTATATCTGTGCAGGACTAAACTTTCCTAGATGGACTAACTTCGGGGAGGCTTCGATAGCCTCTGGTATGTGTTCTTACAAGCAGTTTCTGCCAGAGTCTGTGGTTGTGTAGGTTCAGACCGACTCGGACTCTTGCCTGGTCAGACAGAGGGCAGCTCTGGCCAAGAACAAATACCAGCCACTTCGGCAATCAAGCATATGTACTTTGTTTATGCAGATATTCCTAGCGAAAGATAACTCTGGGAAATGTTTTAACAGTTTGTATTATCCTACTGTTCTATTATTGTAATATTCTCTCTTCTGAAGTTTGGTTTTTGATTGGCTTTTTTTTCCTTCTTTTTTAGTCTTTCTTCTCTTTATATTCCTGCTCTGGATTCACTAGTCTGTGTCCACACAGCCCTGTATAAAGTATTAGAGCACTTCAGAGAAAGTAATACTTTTATGCTAGGGCTTTGGAGAGCTGTTTCTTCTGCACCAGTCTGTGATTAAAGGTTGTTAAATACCTGCTAGATCATTGAATTTTTAATACTTGAAAGCAATGTTCAGCCATCTATTTATAACAGAGATTATTTTGGTATTACATGCAAAAAAATGCTACAGGAAACCTGTAAGAAAATTAATACTTCTATTAAGAAGTATTCCACACTCAAATATGGTGTATTAAAAAAAAAAAAAAGGACATTGGGCCTCAGAGTGAGCAATGAAAAAGAAAATAAAATGTTGAATAGCTGTTTGTTAGTCTGTACCTAACATGAGACAATTTTGGTATGAGGTATTTTGGAAAAAGAGTGATATGTCATCGTGTAATAAAATTTTTCATCTGTCATAGTAAGCAATGAAAAAGAAAATAAAATGTTGAATAGCTGTTTGTTAGTCTGTACCTAACATGAGACAATTTTGGTATGAGGTATTTTGGAAAAAGAGTGATATGTCATCATGTAATAAAATTTTTCATCTGTCATATTCACTATTAGGCTGAATTAAGTTTGCCAAGTAATTGCTGGCATCTTTTAACATTTTCATCTTTAGTGCAGGTTGGCAGAGGACAACTTTTTTCCTTAGGTGAGACAGGAAAAAGCTGGGAGGAACAGCATGATTTATTACAGAGTGCAGGACTATGGAGGAAATTGCATTTGGATTAATTACATGGGTGGTGAATTCAATTAGCCTTCCATTTAATTGAGTATATCCATTTTTGCGTTTGCATGCACACTATCAGAAGTGCAAAAGTCCATCTGTTAATTATCTGCATAAGGATGTTCTTTAAATATGGGACTTAAATAAGTAACTCTCACTGCACAAACTCTAAAAAGAGAAGAATGTTAGTTTAAGGGATTGTAAAAGCTACGGCAGTTATCCTGAAATGACATGGCTTTCTGCTAGTATTACATCTTTACATTACCTTCTTTACTCTAGATGAAGAAAACATAATATGCCTGCACTAAGTGGATGTCCTTTATGTTAAGGCTCCAAACAATATACTAAGGGTTAAGGTGTAAACTGTTCACTTAATGAGCTGTAAGTGCAAAACCTAAATAGAAACAAAAAGAAAAGCTATATTCCAAGTTAATATCCAAACACTGATTTTTAAGTTTTATTTTTGTTACTTTTGTACAGGACTACGGGGATGTATCCAGATGCTTCCAGATTTGGAATTTTCTTTGCTGTTGTCTTAGCATCTCATATAATTGGTGAACTACTAACACTTGTTATACTTGGTGTGGTTCAAAACCCAAATATGGTCCAAAGCGGAGTGGTGCTTCTTAATTCAGCAGGTGTGATAGTGGGAACTGGACTAGTAAGGTAGGAAAAAAGTTTTATTTCATTGTAGTGTTAATGTTAAAATAATCTATCTGTGGAAGAGTGTCATGAACAGTCTGTATTGCTGCAGGACAATAATGCATAGGTAGCAATGGAAAGAAAGTGCAGCTGTTATCCTTCAGAGGCAGAACTGCCTAAACATGTTATACCATGTGCTAAACACAGAAAAAGGAATCTAAATAACTTTACATATCAACAAAAATGGTAACTTTTCACTTTTAGCAAATAAAGTGAAGCTAAAACTGAGCAATTAATATCTATCAGCTCAGCTGAATTCTTTCATGAAATACTGTCCTCATTAGAGGAGTCTGCAAGAAAAAAATCTTACAACCTTTAATAAATGCTGGAACTTATCAAGTACAAAACACTAGGAATTACAGTTTTTAAAAAAGTTGTTCTCAGCTTCTTATTAGTGTTATTCTCCAGTTTAGTCATTAAGTTTTTCAGACACCCTTTCTATCTATGCAGACTGAACTACATAAAAATAGTAGCTTTGCAAATGTGCAGGACAATTCTGATCCACTTGCTCTGTTACTGTGCACATAAATGTTTTTGCATTTTAACTGCATGAACTTTGAACAGTTTTCCTCTTGAATTTGTCAATACTGAATTCACTATGTTTTGAGAAACTTACAATAACAAATTATTGTCAAAAGAGTTTTCTTGATGTTAATAAAATATTACATGGTCACCTGAGATTTTTCCAATGAAAATAAAATGAAGCTGATGTCAGATTGTCCTCAAGAAAAGCATGAGTCTTCACAAAGCTGATGATGCTTCGTCTCTTCAAAGTAGATCTCAGCTAATACTTGCTTATCAAATGAAACTAAATTAATAGCCAATTAATTTACTGCCTGCCTAGTTTCAGAAAGATGTATGTTTATAGTGACAAGACAGTCCTGCTACCATAGTCTAATGCCTTAATGCTAACTTTAAAAAAGTATTAGAGTGGTTTCTAACCTTCCTTTAAAGTAGAGACATTGCTAATTAATATTGTGAATTGCTTTGAGGATTAAAACTCATAGGAAATGGAAGATATAAAAAAATAGCATTTGAGGCTTGGGTTGCTGGTTTGCTGCTAATTTTGTTTAACCATAAAGTCTTGCAGTATTTTAGGTGCAGAAATTGCCCAGTCTTGTTGAATAATTTTATTTCAAAATTGTCATACTGTGTTTCTCTTCTCACTGTTCTTTGATTCATTTTGGTAGTGCTATTATTGTTCCAGTGCATTGGTATCCAGCTTTTTTTTGGTTTTGTAGATGGAGTGAGGGGGTGGTGGTTTCTTACTTTGAAAGCAACACATTTTTGCAACTAAGGTTTATATTGGGTCTGGTCAGATTCAGTTTATCACTGCAATGTGAATAGTAAACAACTTCATAGAATGATTTGTGACTGTCAGGGATGGATGTTATGACACTGCACCGAAGTCACAGACAACCTTCATGATTGTCTCCTTATTTAGCACTGAAATGGCCTTTATGTTTGAAAACCCTACAGGTACAGCCAAGAACTGTTTCTGTAACAGGCTATGACCAAAGTTGATAGCTTGTTTTAATTTGGGGTCGAACTGACTCTTGACGTGTGGCAAAAGCCAATTTAACTTCTCTGTTTCTTTAAGGACCATTGAAGAAATGCCAACACCTTTTAAAATACTCAGTTATCTTACCTTTCAAAAATACAGCAGTGAAGTTCTTATAGTCAATGAATTTTATGGCTTAAATTTCACATGTGGTAAGTGTTAAAAACAAAAAAAAGCCTTCAAGTCCACTGTAAATAATTTTAATGAGATGTCAATGCTTATTTTCCTTCTACATACAATAAAGGTATCCTGATAAAGATAACTTGTGAGTTGTTAGAAAGGCTTATTAATTAGTAAATACTGTAACACCATATCAGCAAGCTAGACAAAAGTTTGACTCCCCTTTTTCAACCATTTCTCCTTTGTTCAGTTTTTCATCATTCTCTTCTTCAACTGTTATTTTATCCTCCCCCTTTGGGGCCATTTTGGAAGGTAAACTTTCCAGCCTGTTATGTGCATATCAGAGCAGTGTTACATAAATAAGGATCAATAGAATTGCACAATGCAAGATCAAACATCAGTGCAGGGAGGACTGACAGGTAACACCTGACCAGATGTTTCCCCTCATCCTGAGGCCTCAGTTCAAGCACATTACTGTGGTATATACTGAGCAGCTTGAGCTTTGCTGGTTGTGAGCAAGACAACTGGCAAAACATTAGAATCAATCAAGCTGGTGGGGTTAGCAGCTCAAATCCATCAATGGGGGTAAAACTTGCAGCTTTGGGTCTGTCCTAAGATATTTGGGGCTTTGTAGCCAGGTGTCTGTACTCCTTTCCAAGGCTATATATTCTTTATCCATTAATCTCTCCTGTCTTTCTTTATTACAAGACCATAGGTGGCAGCTCTTAGAAAATGAATACTTGACTTTGGTAGTAATAATAAACAGGTGATTTTGAATGTGCCCTTCAGAGAGTCTCCATTTCTTGAATTTTGTAAGCACTCAACAAATATGAACACTGTAGGTTTATCACATTGGGCAGCTTGCTTCTTGAGGCCCCTCCAGATAATGTATCTGAAAAGCCATCAATCTTCTTTTCTTTGGCATGAACAAACCAGAAAGCTCCTAGTGACCTTTTATTCTTCCATTCAAAAAACATGGCATAGAAAAACTGAAGAAACACATGGCTTGTCTGTTCTTATTCCAAAAGGATGAGAAATACTGCTGTGGATATAGTACATTATTAAAATAGTGTTAGGGGCTAGGGATATTAAATGTATCAATGCAGATGCTGAAGCTTGAGTTTTAATTTGACTGATTCACTCACTAAATACATTATTTATTTTTTTCTTTTGACAGATGGAGCCAAAAGTCCCACTGCACCTAATGCCACATGTCTTTACTCTGGCAATCAGTTCATTGAAACAACCTTTCCTGATGCACTGAGCCAGTTCACAGTCAACTTCCTAGTACTCTATGCTTTTCTACCAGGACTTGCCATTATAGCAGTTCTGAGCTTCAAAATAAGAGAGAGAATTATTGGCAGGCAATAAAATGTAGGAGTTCTAACAATGTATAATACTACACTTCTATTATGGTTGTAGTGTTAAATTACTGGATTATAGATGGAATTTAAGTGTTTATACACGTATAAACACATTCATTTTCTCATGTTTGGTTCTGACTGGGTTTTTTCTATCTTGAAAAACAATGTTCTCTTATAGTAGCTTCCTGCTATTGGTATTCCCACCCCACTCCAAATCAGCCATAATCCACAGTATTACATGTTTTAAAGGACTTTTTGAATTTAAGTTAGTCAGCTTTTGCTGTAAACTTTTAACAACGTAGCAATGGTGCTATAATTTTTTCCCCACCATTTTGTTTTTCAGCCATTATCAATAAATAGAGTGGTACAATTGGTAGTAAATCTTGTTTCTAGAATTGTCTTTTAAAGTCCCATGCTTTGTTTTTATACCATCTTTGGGTCTTTGCAGAAAGGGAACAAAGCAAATACATGTAAATGAAGACAAGAATCAAGAACTCACTTTAATCTTACACATACTATACAACCAATGAGTACAAGAACTTTAAGCAATACAAAAGTTACCTACATGTTTTTTGTCTTGTAAATGATGATAAATCAGAGATGACAGTTATTTATATTTGTTCCTTCTAAATCTTGTTTTGGAAGCAGCTTGTGAATTACTAGAACAAATTTCTGTTTGTTAATAAAATGTCAACGGGAATTCAAGGGAATAAATACAGAAGTTGTTTTGCTGGTTCTTGGAAGTTATGTTGTTTGCATCTTTAGAAATTATTCTCATATGCTCATGAATATCCCTAAGAGTCTAATTTATCCATTTATAATAAATATAGGTACCTCTCAAAATTGAAAGCCTAACAGACATGGAATTTCTAAATTTTGTAACTTTTTGTGTTCACTGAAAGAATTATTACAGAGGGATAGCTACAGATTTCTTCGAGGAGGTAAGTATGTTATGTCTTGAAATTCCATAATTATATAACTAGTTTAAGATTATAGTTTTGAGATTGTGCACTTTGTAACGAAGAATTTGAAATCCTCAAGTTAATGCAGGTTCCCCTCTTAAAGTGTAAGGCCAAGATTTTTTTCTAGTATCTTTCTGTATAATATTCTGAGATACAAATGTTATATCAGGAAAACACTTGGTGAACAATTATGTTAAAAATAACAAATAACTTTCAAGAGCTGGAAAGATACCACATTAGTTTGGCTTTCCCATTTTTATGCACATGTAGTGTTGTTCTTCTGGGAACATTCCTACAGTCTGATCTGCCAAGGGAGCCATTTAATGTCTGGTAACAAGTCTTGGCTCTCAAGAGACACCGCTGCCTTTACTCCAGATTTTGCCTGTTCTCAATATGCTCAGGCCATCTCATAAATAGTGAGGGTGTCTGTGGACAAAAGTTTAGGCTGGCATTTCACCAGCTTAGGCTGCATGTGAATTGATTATACTTCCCCCACTAACCATGTATTTGTCAAATGGATTACACTGACTTCCTAGTCTTTGAATATTTGGCAGAAAGGTCATCTTCTGAATTCTGTGCCAAGTTATCACAGTATTATACGTTGTAGGAAATGATTCCTGGATTAAACTATATCATACTGAAACAGAAATAAAGGAAACTTCTGAAATTTAGACTAGGTTAAATCTGGTTTTAATTCTACTTTATTCTGCCAGTTTTTTTGGGACTGTCCTATATATCAAGCAATGATGCAACTGTATCATTAAGCTTTGATTTTGAATTATATATACAGGTGACTAGGGAAAAATGCCTAGCATACTTTACTACACAGTTTCACATATTTGGTGTGAAAACTTGTTTATATTTAAATACATGTTTTGGGTGGAAGCAATGAAAAATAAATAACATGTAACTTAAAAAATAGGTAGAACTGGCCACTGCCAGTCTTGATATTCAAATTTGTCTCTGAATAATCTAGAATTCCTTTCTCCCCACTTTTTAAAACTGTGTCTGTAACAAGATATGCATCAATTCTGACAATGAATAAACAGCTATTTTTATTAAAAATAACAGGAATACATAATAAAAATTAATTTTGTCATTTCATATGGTAGTTTTTTAGCTCCATCAGATTAAATTGGTAGAATAATGATAAAATGATCAAGTGATTTTGTAAATGTTAAACTGAAGACACCTATAGCAATTCATCAATCAGGGTCAAAATCCATTTCCTTCCAGGATTTAGAGGCATTTCTTTTATATTGTTCAAGTTCCTAAAACAGAAACATAAATACATATTAATGTAATCTCCTAATTATTAAAAGTGGTAAGATAGATACATGTATTAGCCACCTAAATATTTAAAGCATGTACAAACATTTTTCACTGTAGAAAAAAATGTACTGTTTTTAAATTTTTAACAGAATTATACTGAAAGTGCTATAACATTTGCACATTTGCTCTCACAAAGGGAGATTTAAATTATTTTGGCCTAGATGCTTTCTAGGGTAGAACGCATTTTGGGTGAGGTCTTTGAAATTCAGTTTGAGAAACCAAGCTCCCTATGAACATACAGAAATGCAGAACTACCTGTGTTTTACAAACAGAATTCAGCATTACCCAACAGAAACTACTGTTTCACACACATGAAGTCAGGGCCTTTCAAAAAGCGAAATGGATTGATGATTCCTGATAAGAAACTAGAAGAACAAAGCCTATTTTTTCTTTTTCTTTAAGCACAGGACTGAAATGAACTGCTGTAAGCTTATACACCGCCAGTGGTGATAACCTAAGAGAGCTCACACACTACCTTAGAAACCCTTCCAGAACACAGGCTTGTCCAGTAAGCAGAAATATATTTTAAAGGAACTCAATGCATGTTTAGAAAATCAAAATGCCATATCTATTCAATCTATGGTACTCAGTATTTGTGGAACTATTATTAATCATTGCATGAGGTTTTTCAGGAAGGGTAATGACAGACAGTGATGCCACGCTTTTGTTTTTCAATTAGTAGCTTAAAATATTCTTTCAGGGGCTACTGTTTAGGAGACTGAAAAGTTAGCATCTGCATTTAAAATAAAATGCAAACCCAGTGTGGTAATTACAAATATGTATTGTCTAGTTTAGATTATTAAAAACAGAGGCCTAAACTGTGAAGCTATAAATAAAGCACGTTAGGAAAGATGGGGCAGTCTACATTAAGCTATACTTGACATCAGCAGAGCATTAGCACAGTAGACAAATGACCTTGTTTCAGTTAAAAATGCTACTGGGAATTTTGAAGCCTGTAATATCTAGCAACATTATCAAACAATAACTTAATCTTGTCAATTTTAGGTAGTGACACATACTTCTGGGAGTTATTTCTGAATATTTTTTCAGCAAGAATTAATTTGGAAAGCATTATGATTGCTTTTTGTTAGTTTAAGAATAAGGAGGCTTCCAATGTATTTGCAGGAAGCTAATACACTGAAGAGTTACTGTTAGACCTAACCAGGTACTGCTTGCAATACAAAAAAAGTCATCCTATCTTACTTAGATGAGAAAAAGAGGTAAACATAAACCAGTGATCAGTATAAATGCAGCAAAGACCCTCAAAAGTGGGCATGTGTTATGTATGATTACTATTCTGATCTTAATAAAAACTTAACAGAGTAAGGGAGGTTTCACCATAGATACATAGAACTGACAACAGTAACAAAATCCACACCTGATGGGTTTAGCAGAAGTATTAATTACTGATCCAGAGCACAGAGGGAAGAAGAAGAAAATACAGGGCACAGGAAAAAAAGAAATCATAATCTAAAAGTTGTATGGAAATAATAAATGGAATTTTCTTTCTCCCAGAAAATAACTTCAGCAGCTTTGTCAGCCGTGAAAATTTTCAGAAAGCACCACGGGTTTATAAGCAGTAAGAGGATTTTTAATTAGCGCATATTCTTCATGTCGCTTGCAGAATCTAGTTTGACAGCTAAGTGAGTAATTCACAGGTGACTGACACAGAACACATTATGTCTAGTCTAAATCTAGTAAGTTGCATTATGAAATACAACTGTAGTACTACGAAACTGTTCTGTCTCTAAGCCTCAGTATTTTCACTCGTCATTATTATTATGAAGTAATTATGATCTTGGAACATACTGAACTGTTGGAAACTTGCCCACAGTTAGGAACAGAAACAATACTGTGGTATTTTAAGAAGAATGTGTAACTGACGTGCTAAGTAAATAATTTCAGTTATAACAACTTTGACAAAGGTTACAGGAAGGGGTAAAATTAAGGCAATGAAGATTTTACATATGAAGACTATGATGTCTGGAGGTCACGTCTACAGGTGTTGTCTAAATAATTAGCCTTGCAAATTTATCATCTGACTAAACTGTTCCAATAGAGGTAGATAATTTAGCAGAATTTATTTTGCTGTAATTTTAGCTAGCTAGAAAGCATTCAGTGTAAAGGCAATACAAAACAATACAGGAATGCAAAGTATTGAACAGCATATATTAAAGCTATACAGCTATTCCCCCACATACAGAACAAAATTAGAGATACTTATTTTGGAGACATCTTGGTACGACTAACACTTAAACAACACTAAGTTAAGTTGAAGAAAAAAAGAGGTATTAAATGGGAGGATTTTAAAAGATTAAAAAAAAATCTTTAACAAATTCAGTGATTTAGGAGAAAAGATGCTGCCAGGGAAGTACTCTTCCTTAGTTTTAATGTAAAATAGAAGCTAAACTAAATCTGCCTAAGTCAGAAGTGTAATGGAAAAATACAGCTTAAAGATCATTCCAGAGACCCTTCTGAAAAAGGGTATCTTCCTGCTCACAAAGTCCTGTACTACAAACATAAGCAGAATTCTGGAATATGCTGTAACTATACAATAAGCTAAGAGATACTCTTACAAAACTGAAAAATATCCTACAAAAGAATATATCTCAAAGTGCTCCAAAATGCTGATGCTCACATTATGCTTTCCTTGTTTTCTGGGTGCCAAGTGTAAAGGGCACAGATCAGATTTACAAAGAATTAACAACGGCAATTTAAATACGCTTCCTATGCGCTCCAAGTGCTTTCAACTTTTAGTGCTGGCAACTTGTCCTAGATGTCTCAACACTGGCATAAAGTGGATTTTTATTTTTTTTTTAACCTTAGTGCTTCTGTACTTCTGTGTTTTTATAAATTGCACATCTGTCAAATGGGTAAGATCACACCTAATCTCATAAAGGGACTGGGAGGAAAGACTTAACTGATGTTTGTTACCACACATTCTCAGAGAAAAAAAAAATTAATACTTTTGTGTTCATTGAAGTGTCTGAATGGCAGGTTGAGAAATAAGGTACACAAAGAATAAAGATGATGAAAAGAAATACTGAACAATTGAAGAGAGACATCAGCAAAACAGTATATGATCATGTAATTAAAGACAATACTGTAATGTCTACAAACAAGAAGGAAAAATTAAGATTGTAGGAAAAGCCTTAATTGTTGCATTTCCTCAGTTCTGAGGGACTGATGGGACTTTCTTTTTCACGCAGTTTCATACTGAAAGTGCCCTCAACCTGGAACATGGTGAAAATAACTAAGTACTGAAATAAGGATTAAAAGTCTTACACACCAAACTTCAATAGGAAATTTAATAACAGTTCTCTAATGATGTTTTTTAAACTGGTTTAAAAAAAATACCTATTTGGACACGCTTTGCATGAAAACGAGAATTTTTTCTCGCCAGATGAGCCAACATCCTAAGTAACTATTTTTCCAAAGTATGAAAAGATGCCACTGCTCTGTTACCCATGTTAAGGTGCCTGCCATATTTCTCAGCCCAGTGACACTGGTGTGACGAAGGAGGTGCCTCACACAATATACAACCTTTTATTTTGTTGCATGAGATTGAAATTGTCCCCTGAAATTCTGCAATGTGGTCACAACAGAGAAGCATCTCTCCTTCTGTTGGCCAGCACAGTCCCAATCTCAGTCAGCTGCAGATCTGACACCGAGATGACTTCTATTTATCAGTCAACTGCAGATCTGACACCGAGATGACTTCTATTTGTGAATGACATGGTTAAGAAGATCACTCCTATTTTACAGGAAATAGGACTACGCTTCTTGTACTTTATGGCATTAGGCTTCAGCTAAAACTGGCATCAATCCCTAAATTAATACCTTTGTGTTACAAGGACCAGTCATTGTGAACTTTGGCATTGCATGACACTGAGTTCTTAAGTACCTGACTAGGAGGTTATCCAATTTTTTGAGTTCAAGGTTGGCTTTATCGTTTGCTTCAACCAATGAAGCTGTGGTCAAATGTCCAGATAAAAATGGTTCAAGCACCTATTTTGCATATTAACAATATCAGGTGTATCAGGACAGCTAAAATACAAAACAAAGAAAAACCTTTGAGAAGAAATCTAGAGTACTAACCTTCCTGGTAGAAAGCATTTCTAAAGGAAAAAAAACAGACACCCCTTCTGCTATCTCCCTGTCACAAACATTTAGTAGGATCTCCAAGGTGCTCACAGATGCAGGTGGTGTATGTGCAGCTCTAATCGGCAAGATTATTTTAAAAGATCTCACTCTTACTCAAGTTACATGTCTACCTAAAATTAAATTAAGGCAGCAGAGAAATAGAGATAAATGGATGGTAGGTTTGACATCTTGGTTACGCTTTACATGGGCTGTATGATGAGTTAACAGCAAGCCACGCATTAAAGGCCTAATAAATATGCAAAATTAATGTTTTTCTGGAATCTTGAAAGCCCTGCAAAGAGCACAAAATTCTAGTCATTCCCAAAGAGAATCTGCTAGTTGAGAAATAGATTAAAAATGTGAATTCCAAGAAGGTCCCTGGTGCTCTCTCTCTCAGACCTTAACTCCAGAAAATGAAAAAGCAGTACACAATTGCAACAGCACCGTTTGATTTAAACCTGCTTGTTTTATGTCTGTGGGGTAAGAGCTAGGAAAAGAATTTTGACAGAACATGGTTGAGAAAGATAAATGTGTTCTTTCTTCAACAAAAGCCCAATGACGGAGAGAGATAGCTTCAGACAGTTTTCCAGAGCAAAAAGGTCTAAGAACAGAGTGGCAGGTCTTGTACTTAACTGTGAAAATATTATGGAGACAAAACAATCTGGTCTAAAAGGTAACACTCTTGTGACAAGAGTGCTGATGAGCTGGACTCTAACTTCAACAGCCAAAAAGCATAGCAAAAAAATACTTAGCTGACAGCTCATACATGGGAGCAAGCCAGGCACTTTCTTGTTTCTGAACTTTTTTTAAAAAACCTGTTTTCTAATTTTAGACTTGAGAATTTAACCTTTTACTCAGCCACAGACTACAAACGCTAGCTGCAGAGAAACCCTTCGACCAAGGTTACAAAGTTAGAATTGATGTAATTGAACTTTACATTGCCAGTTATCATTGAGCAGTCCTGACCAAGACTGCAATATCAGTCGGGTATGCTAGTGCTTCTATCACACTCAGTGACAGGGGCTATGTTTTGTTTATGTTGCAAAGTTTCTGTGATTATTTTTCCTTTAAAGCTTATCTTTGAGATAAGAAAGCAAACCGGTTATCACCTAGAGTCCAAAGTGGTATATTAATTAACCGAAAGTAACCGAGAAAAATTGTCATATGCACTTAAATGATTTTAAAATATACACTGTGATCATATGAAACTATCCCATAATTTTATTACCAACAGGCTGCATATTAAACATCTTCATATACTCTTTCTTGTGCACAGTACATCTAATGAGACTCTGTAATGTCAGACTTATAATGCATTTAAAATGTTGCTTAAAAAATAAGATTTTTGTGCTACTTTTCCTATAACAGGGAAATCCAAAACCACCTCAAGAATCACTGCAACTACAGAGTTATTTTCTTTTAGATGTATAGTGCTATCTTGGTGCATTTCAAATTGAATGAAATTCTTGGAGTTTAAAACATTTGAATAATGTGCAAATAATCTTGTAATAATTGAACTTCGTGATAGAGAAGTTTAGGAAATAGCTGCTGATAACAAAAGTAATTTTCTCTTTAATGCTCAAATTACTTGTAGTAGTCCAACTAAAAGAAGCTACACTGGTTTGCATGCCCTTGAACAGATTAAGATTCTAAAAGCCTGTCTCCTTTGTTTAAAACCAGAAAATTAATGATTTACTGTATAATTTAATCAACATATGCCAGTATCTTCTTTTGCAAGCTGTAAGCATTATCTACAAATAACAAACCTAGTGCTCCATATAGTTTTTTTGAGATCTATAGATATACTGAATATGAGATTACATTATAAATTCCAAAAGCAATGTGCTTTTCAAATTTTAATGATTTCTAAGACTGCTCTTGATGTAACACAAATTCAGAACTGATGCCTACATTAACAGGATATTACAGGTAATGTGCAAGTTCAAAGACTGCAGGGGATTCTTGAAATTGCTTTATTCTTTTACATTATTAATGTATTTCTTTGGATCGGGCAACCACAGGTTTACTACCTTATGCAATCTAACTAAATTCTACAAAAAAGTGATAGCAGTAATAATCTAATCCTTTGCCTTTCTTTTACAAGCATGCAAAAATCTGCCACAGTATTTTAGGGTTAGTCGAAATTCACTGCAGTGCAATTCAATAAAACTGCCTTTCATCTTAAGAGTGGGGGTCTGTAGAAGCAGTTTAGATCTAGATGGGTGTGATCCATCATCTTAAAGCACTGTCAGAAAAATCTCCTTTAACCACAGTAACCCACAAAGAAGGTAAATGGTGTACAAGTAGCCCACATAGAAGCTGTGAAAATAAGAGTGGAAAGTTTCTCTAGAATTCTCTGTGTGTGAAACAAATTAATCTATGTGAAACAGAGTTTCCAGAATAAGTTCTTCCGCCAAACAGAAAAAAATCCTCAGTTCTTGGATTGATTTTAACAGGCCCACACAGTAATTCTACTCAGATGATGTTATTGTCTATAAGGCAATGTTCTGACCTTCACCTAGGCTGCCACAGAACTTTTTCATAAAATTAATCCAAAATAAATGTAGTGGGAAATGCAGAAACACTTCAAAATGAATAAGAAAAAAAAAAGAAGAAGAAAAAAAAAAGAAAAAAAGGAAAAAAAAAAAGACCCTTTCCTCACTAAAGGCCTTTCCTGGAATTGGAATTCAAGGGTGAACCCAAATGACTCTGTGGAGTGATTCTGTTCACTCTGTTTAAGATAAAATGTACATAGCCTATAAGCTCCAGTCAGAAATGTAATGATCTCAGTAGCTTTCCAATTCAAACAAAAGTTTTAAGGTGGAAGACAAAAAGAAAAAAAAAAAGGAAACAGCCCCCATTGTAAACCTTGATGCTGCTTCCTAGACTTCCTTCCAGTCAATACCCAAATGAGAGTACAGGAGGCAGAAATGAAGACGTTACTACTAAGAATGCTTCACAGTTTTGCTTCAATATTATTTTAGTGACGTAATTCTGGAAGAGAGCTAAAAAGAAAATCTGAATTATTCATTTCTAAAGAAACCACAGAGCATTGAGATCTAACAATGCTCTACCTGCTTAATCACAGAAGGATTTGGGTTGGAAGGGACCTTAAAGATCATTCAGATCCAACTCCCCTGCATGGGCGGGGACACCTCCCACTAGACCAGGTTGCTCAGAGCCCCATCCAACCTGGCCTTGAACACTTCCAGGGATGGGGCCTCCACAACTTCTCTGGGCAACATGTCTCAAAACCCTCACAGTGAAGAATTCCCTTATCCTAATGTTGAAGGGCAAGGAGGAGGGCAAGGATGGTTTGCAAAGAAAGGAAGTGGAAGGGCAAGGAGGGAAAACAAATAGGCTCAATTAGACCCTTTTCACAGGTGCAGAAGCAGAGGACTGGAGGTTCCTGGGCAGTGCCACCAGGCAGCAGGAGTAGGAAAAGGGACACAAGCAGCAACATCTGACACTTTGCTCTCTCAACAAGCAACACCTATGTTGGACAGGGGTAACATGCCGAGACAAATTCTTTGGAAAGTCATCCTTGCAAATGCTGCCATACAAATCCAGAGTGAGGATTTGATCCTGAAAATTATTCTGTCTGGGTGCACTGAAACAACCTGAAATGTCTACCAACACACCAAACTACTGCTGAAGTTCAAGTTATTTGAAGGCAAATGGGGGGCTACCTGCCTATTCTGCAATTAATTCAGCAATGCTGGTGGTTCTGGAACACCTGATTGAACAACAACTGGAGAACAACTACACACCTGCTTTTTCTGAGCTCTCATGACATCAACTTCATATTCAGCATATTGCGAATCCTGTGCAGGGTCCTTGGTATCCTGCAAATCGCAGAGACTCTAAAAGAAGAAATTATAAAGTAAGTTTTACCTCCTGTTCTTTTAACAAGAAAATGCCACTCTGGGTGTCTAATGGAAGTATTTTGCTTTTATTAAAAATACATTAAATCCCTGCATGTATGAAATAATTTTATGCTATTTGATACAGATTAGGTAAAATATACTATAGATAATCTTAGATTGGTAAAATGATGTGAAAGTAGTAATGCAGTTAGATCTTAAAGAAAATAAAATATTCCTAGTTCATAGTGATTTTCTATTCTCTCCTCAAAATGAAAATATCCTTTCTGGCCCATGAATTTGGGTTAAGGTTGCTCTTGCTAGAGCACTTAAAAATCATGACTGGAATTCAGTTCCAGTTAGCAGAACTGTTACTTCAATATCTGAAAAATGGATCATTATCTTTTTGTCAAACACCTGAAATTTCATTTACTAACCTTGAAGGAATTATAAGGAATTATATTAATTCAAAATAAGCAAATACACTAAAATAAAAAACCACTATCAAATATGATTTTTTTTATATGTTGTCCTGCAGATTTCTCTTTACACGTAACAAATGGAAAGTAGCAATAAGTGAGTCATACAAATGATGGGATAAAATACAGCAAAATTATAATGACTATTAGATGAGGTGATGAAAAAAGAAATTCATAATGCATAAAACCAGCTTTAAATTGTAAAGCATATTTTGGAAGCAAAACAGAAGACTGGGAATCTACTTGGGACATCTTATTGAATTAGACTGATACCTTAGAACACTGACAAGAGCCTGCAAGATAAGAAATTAGTACATTTCTCCAGCTGTTTCATGGGGAGCTTGGGAGTTTTGGCACAGAGCGATAGGGTAGATTTGCTTATTGTTTTTTAAAAGGCCATGCATACAGTCTTCATGTAAAGTAACAGTCCAGTATAGTTTTTGAAAAGTGAAGTTTAGTCTTTATGATGTTGGGGCACACTGAACTGAGAACAGCATCTTAGTGATAATTTCTTCTGGTCACAAACCACCTGAAATAATGTGTAGCCTTTGATATGTAGCAGTCAAGTGAGTAGGAAATGGTGAATTCAGACTCCTTCCTTCTCACCAAGAATGGAGATCCATAGTCTGAAAACTAGAAAAAAAGCCCAATTTGTGCACCATCATTTGAGAGACAGTTGCATGGCCCTGACCAACTTCCTTGCCTGCCCAGGTATGCTGTAGGGCAGGAAATAGAGAGGGATAAAAAACTGTGATACAGTCTAGTACAGCAGGAGAAAGCAGAAGCCTGTTTTTGCTCAGATCAAATAAAGAATTTTTCTTTCCTAACAACAGCAATTACTTTTCTTGAAAAGAAGTATTTGAGGGCTTGCCCCTTGGAACCAGAAGTTTCTGAAATATGTACAATATTTATCACTACCTAGGTGCCAAGGGATTCTAATTACCTTGCAAATCTAAACACTTCCTACAGCAAAATGACAGATTTTGACAAGGAACTCCTAACACAGTTGCCTCATGCAAAGACTCCCACCCTAAGGGAGCAAGGGTCAGTAGCATGACTATGGCTAGGAAGAGCTCTCATCTTGGAATGTCACTGTCATTTTAAGCATTAGGGGATATATCACCTTACCAAATTAAAAAAACCCTGAGTATAGCTTGTCTCTCATTATAATAAAAAGCAATGGTGCAGCTTTTGGACAAAACAGAAGGTTACATCAATACTTCCATTATTGTTAAATGTAGGAAGGTGTCTGAAGATGCAGAAGCTTAATAATCAAAACACCATGACACACAAATCTGTATCTTTTAGAAATGTATGAATTTAAAGAGGCTGGAAGAAACAGAACTGCAAAGTGACACTGAAATTCCAGTGACTGGACTTGAAGGAAAGCAGCTGTGCAGCATACGTGTAAATACATACCTTGGGAGGAAATGTTTTCTCAAACACTTTCTTCCACAGTTCCAGTGGTGTGTTTGCACGCAGCTTCCCAATGTCAGGATCAGAGGCAGGCGGTGGTCCTAAGGATTACAGCACAACACAAAGTAACACGACTACGTTGTCACAGCAACATAGGTAACAACAGATATTATCAAACCATTTTGGATAACAATCCATCTAATTTAATATTTTATCTTTACATTGAGAAGGTGAAAAAAGTTTGAACACTGATCTCCTACCCTGAAATGGGGTGAGTGGCATTGCATATTATATTTTCTTTCAGATCTAAGCTTGTTAGTGCTTTACTATTTGAAGTAGTCCCAATACTTTATTAACTACCTAACAAAACTGCACAAGTAATTAACAATAAGATAAATATTGAATCATAATTTTAAATTTTCTAAGCCATTATTTTCAATAAGCTGTTAAAACTGATGCTGTCGTGCTATAATTTAACTTTATTTTTTATTTGCTTACATTTTTTTTCTCATTTTCAAAGACAATTAAGAAAAACCAAAATAAACAGGAAATGTCCTAACCTATTTGGCTCAAGGAATCCAGGCCTGCTGGTATAAACAGAGGTTTGCTGTGATCCACTGATACAGACTTGCTAAACAGAACAAAGAAAACATATCAAGTGAGCATTTAGCAGTCAATAAAAAGCTAAGACTAGACTCTCACTGGGCTTTGCACACAAATACATTTAAATAAAAATCTGCTCAGTTCTAGTGGTGACCATGTTTCTAATCCATCAGGTTTAGGATCAAAATCAAGGACTTTTCAGTCTTAGGCAGCTGAGACACAGAAGTTAAAGTCCATAAACAAGAATATTACAGAGAATATATTTAAGAAGAAAAGTTTTGGTGATTAAAATATTTTTTACTTGTAGACTCTGGGCAAGACAGCTGATAATTGGACAATAATTATGTTACCTTTTATCATAGCCAAAGGCCAAGTGATTAATAAGAACACGAGCTTTCATCAGGAGAGCCTCAGATTTACTGGTAAACTGAATGTATCAGAAAAAAACCACAACAAAACACATTATGATTTTCCATCATTATTACATTATGTCATCTACATAGAGGATTTCAGATAGACCCTGCCTAATTTCTGACCTCAACAAATTTAGTAGGTGTAATAAATTTACTAGAATAAAACTCTCACCTTCCCTTTCCAAAACAAGTTTGTTTGTCACTGAATATATAGATCAAGAAAGGTTTGATGAAAAATAGAATAATTAAAGATTAAAGAATAAGTTTTAAAATATTGTGTCACAACTTTAGATGCATGCACATTAAGGACACAATTTTTTGCCCAAGACTAATGAGTTACTAATATTTTAAACTACATTAAAAATTATCCAGAATAACATAAACAATTAGAAATGTGATTAATAATTACAATTGTTCACACATAAAAGTAGCTTGTTAGTGGCAGAACTGGTACAAATTTATTAGAAAGCAGCTCCCAGAATATCTTCTCAAAAAGCATGCTTATTCCTATCTAAGGGCTTTTGTACCCTAACAGATTCACATCTTTGAGAAATAAGTCATATTTCTACTCTGGGAAATGAAGTTTATCCCGCTTATTTCAACAGAAATCAAGATTTAGTAGAGAAGGAGTTTTAGGCTCCTCCTAGTTCTTAATTTTTAATTATAATAATGCTTAAATACTTAAAAAAAAATAAAAAAGAATTGATCAAGACAGTTAACAACAGTTAGCAAAAGATCAATTCATGTGTCAAAGTACAAAGGCTGTACCATTTTACATGGATGCAAAAGGATGTGCTGTGATTACAATATAAAGCAAACATAAGGTGTTTGGTAATCAAAATAAGCCACTATTAGTATTAATTATTACTTAAATAATGGTTGATGCAATTAAATCTATCTTCTGATGTAGAGAAAGCCAAAGAGGCAGCTTTTTTGGATGTGAACCTGAGCATGCATGTTTCTGCCTTTACTGAGGAGATGATCTGCCAAGCTCTAATCAACTTATCTACCCACATAAATACTTAATTTGTCCTCATGGTTGGCAGTTCCTACTCATTACTGTTAAAAAAATCACTGCCTTCATTCTTCAACACTTTAAGTGTGATAATCTGGTATGCTTAAACTGCTGTGAAGATGAGCCTTTGGATGCAAATTTTTCAATCTGCTGAAGCCAGGTCACTGGACATAATTCACACTTCTACCAAAAAGGCCAGTTCTCTAATTCTGATATGATCACTTTTCCCCATCCTCCTTTCTTGTAACAAAAAACTACTGCCAGACATGCAGTAAACTCAATATGGGAACTGATCTGGCTAACAGATAATTATTTTTATTTAGTTTGCTAATACTGGGAATCATGTAGTTTGTTTGTTCACAAGGCAAATTCATCCATTCCCTGCCAGTGCCTGTCACCTGTTTGACAAATTATATTATTAAGAAAGCTACTGTAAAAGCAAATAAATCCCATTTACTCTAGTTTTACATTTCTATTTTTTTAAATGTTGTTTTGCAACATAAATGTTGCGCATTTTCTCTATCCTTAGTTAGAAAGTGATTATACACACCACTAATGATGCTCCATAATAATGTGAAATAAATCGAAGTGTCTTGCTTATTATTTTCCTCATTTCAGAGTCAAACTCCTGAAAAAGTTGATATTGGAACATATGTAAGAAAGAAAAAGCAAAATATAACAGCTAGAAGTTTTCATTTTTTGTATAAACTGCAATGCACTTAGGCTACAATATATGAGGCTTTCAGCTGTCAGCATAATTATATCTTAAGACAGAATCAGTAACAGCCTACTCTGAAAAGAAATGTCACAATTTCCCTTTGTTTCTTTTTTACAGAGGAAGCCTAATTCAGGCAATATGTTAGTCCAGAAAAAGTTCCTTAATCAGGACTGTATATTCCATTTCCAATTAATTTGTTTATGTTTTAATTTTTTAGAAGTAGAACTAATGCCTACTAGAAAAATAAGGTTGTGAAAATATTTAATTTTCAGTAAATCTTTGGGTATATGCTCTCTAATACCTGCAAGATTTTAAAGGTGCATAGAAACACCTTTTCAACAATGTTTCTTTAGTAGAAACTCACACAGATGGCCTTCCCTGGCTAAAGTGGGTGAAAACCTGATCCCAGTGAAGCCTGCAGGCATCTGTGCCTAGACCCCAATGGAAACAGGCTGTTATTCTGTGCTTATTACATGAGAGACACTGAGTTTTAAAGAGGTCATGGCTCAGCATAAAGCCTCAGTATGAAAGAAGGAACAGTACTTCATTAATAAAGAATTAGGCAACTCAAAGAGTCAGGCAAATATCCATGCAGTATGCAGTCAGAGAAACACAGGCTGCCAGCACGGCAGCTAAAAATCAAACATACTGTTCCAGTTTCTCATTATCAAGTGCTGCTTGAAAATTGAGTTTGTTTGGATTTTTAATATCCTGGGAGAGAGTCCAGCTGTACTACATTTCTTTCCTCTCTCCCCTAAAATATGCAATTAACCACTTGTCTCTAAAAACTTAAGTACTTTAAAAAAAAGTTTCAGACTGAAATGATAGTTTACTGTTTGTGCTGCCGCAACTACCAAAAAATCTGCCCAGCTGACTTAAAAGATGCCCCTCTTTCACTGCCATGAACTTACAGCCACTCTCAGAAGGAACACATTTTTCTCATTATAAAAGAAGGTCATCAACCTGATGGTTTTTTGCTCCCCATTTTGGTCTGCAGCAACTTGTATCTCAACATTTCCCAAGTACATAATTTTTTGAGTGCTTTGTGAAGCAGTGGCAGCCTTCCATAATGCTGTTAGATGGAAAGTTTTTTTTTTTTGTGGTAGAAGGCTGACAGGCCTTGTCGTTTTTTTTACTAATATTTGGTTTATTCAATTATTAGTATTATTTTACCAAGATTTTAGTATATAGGAACTCTACCAGGAATCTTTTAGTTATTAAAAAAAAAATTATTAAGTATTACTTACATGAAAAACATCATATTTGCTTCCAATTATCACCAAAGGTATTGGAAAAGGGTCAACTAACTCATAATCCTATTAAACAGATAGATGGCAGTTAAGCAGTGTAAACAACCTGTCCAAGATTGTCCAAATTAGAACAACTGAAAGGGGTAAAATTCATTCACAGAGGACAAGGTCTATTTTTTCAAAACCTGAAGTAGATTAATAAACTTTACTGCAATATCCATACCATATTCTACAGTTTTATTGTTTTCTTCATAAATGGTCAGGAAATATTACTGGCATAAAAGGGTTCTTACACCATAATACTTTGGCTCCAGCATTAGATGGTAAGGGAAGAGAGGAAAAACTCCACATGTTCACAAAACAACTGCCAGACTGGAGAATGGCTGGAGAGCAGTCCTGAGGAGAAGGACTTGGGGGTGGTAGCAGATGAGACGCTTAACATGAGCTGCCAGTGTGTGCTCACAGCCCAGAGAGCAACTGCATCTCAGGCTGAAGCAAAAGAAGTGTGGCCAGCAGGACCAGGGAGGTGATTCTGCCCCTCTACTCTGCTCTGGTGAGAGCCCACCTGGAATCTTGTGTACAGCTCTGGTGCCCTCAGCACAAGAAAGATATAGACCTGTTGGAGAGGGTCTGAAGAAAGGCCACCGAGATGATCAAAGGCCTGGAGCACCTCTGCTATGAAGACAGACAGAGAGTTGGGGCTGTTCAGCCTGGAGAAGAGAAGTCTCTGGGGAGACTTTATAGTGGCCTTCCAGTTCCTGAAGGGGCTACAGGAAAGCTGGGGAGGGGCTTTTCACCAGGAAAGGCAGTGATAGGACAAGGGGTAATGGTTTTAAACTGAAAGAGGGGAGATTTAGGTTAGACGTGAAGAAGAAATTCTTCACCATGAAGGTAGTAAGGTGCTGGAATAGGTTGCCCAGGGAGGTTGTAGAAGCCCTCTCCCTAGGGGGAATATAGAACTTAAAATAAATTAGTTTTAGTTTCCTAACTAATACAAAATTAATTCAGGGTAACATCAGAAGCAATAAAACTGGCCTACTGAGTCATATTAATCTTTTGACTATGGAATTAAATTTTCACTATGTAGGTGCATCCAGCTTTTTTAGACAAGGTTTGGAGTTGATGTATTTATGCTTTATAAGAATATTCAATAATTTCTATCTAGGCCAATAGAATGTATCTAATCCTTAAAAAAAACCCTTAAGAGCCTTATCAATTCCTGTTTATCATAAAAATATGTTTAGCTATAAAAAGGCAAATAAAAATCTGCATAAACTAGCATTTGCTTTGACTATAAAAGACAGTATTTCCTCCCACAAAATTGACATGATTTTTTCTTGAACAATGATGAAAGTTTGAAGAGAACTGAGGAATAACATAACATTTTGTTTGCATCTTTTCTGGTTTTGGTAACGAAGGCTGAATAGAAATTCTAGTTTAGAAGGTATAATTGTGTTCCCTAAACGGCAAGTATAACAAGTCTTCTTAACAATTAATGGCATAATTCTTTTTACTTATAGAAAAAAGCTTGCAGTTTTCTAATATGCAAGCCCCTATATTTAAGCTTGACACTGTGATGATGATTTATTGCCAAGTCTGCTTGCAGGCATTTTTTTTTATGAATTTCCTTCTTGAAAAGTAAAACCCAAAATCATAATTCAGCAGATCTCATACCCGATACTCTGAATCTAAAGAGTGCTGCATATGTTGCTTTTTCAAAAAATGTAAGTTACCTTAAAAATTTTGAGCTATATAAGCATTTGCTGTATTGCAGCATTTTATAGACGTTCCAGTAACTAGAGTTATGTGCCAAGTCTCTGAATTGTTGAATACTTATTTATGCATTATATACACACAACATTTGCAGAGGTTTAATGCACAATGACTTTTCATTTCTATTGCGCATAATCTAGTTTAGCTTTTCCACAGATTTAGTTAGCAATTATGTTTAAAGGACTGATGTTAACATTTCTGAAACTTTATAATTTAATTAGTTGTCAGATTATCAAAAGGCATTGAGTTTGTGATAGACATTTAAATAAATGCAAAGTATATAGTAATGTTGATGGCTGTTATAACTATATTCTTTGCTTAAATTTGTACCTTCAGCTAGTCTCTTGCTAGATGACTTTTGTACATTCTAGTTTTCATCTTCATTTTAAAAAGATGAGGGGGGGAAAAAACCAAACTGCTACTCTAAAACTATTTCTTTTGATTAGTGTAACATGCCATAACAATCACATTAGATATCTAACAAAAAGATATAAGAAACCTTCTTTCCTTGTTTCTGCTCTTATTGAATTTTTATTAAATTGCTATAATTTTCCAGTGAACAGGTTCATCTACATCAAATGGATTTTCAGTCATGCATAAAAATCTAAAAGAGTTGTTTATGATTTTCAAAAGCATTATCTTTAACTGTATGAAGGCCTGTGACATCTGGAGAAAATATTAGAAGAACTTACCGGATGATCCTTCTGCAGATTGTTTTGCATCCTCTGTTTCATTTCAGTAGCTACTTTAGGATTTGTCTTTTCTAGTTTGGTCAAAATTTTGTTCACATGGTTCCTGGTGACCTGCAGAAGTTTCTCCATAGTAGTCCAGAGTTCATTAGGTTTGGACAAATCCAATACAAGAACTACAGAAAATGACCTATCAAGAAGGCATGATTTGATCAAATTCTTAGCACATGAGACAAGTAACATTTTAATCAACCACCATACCTGTGAAAATACAAATGCTAAGATAGAAATAAATGTGACAACAAAGAGCTCTTTTAAGGATATGCTGAGCTCTGAAGAAACCTTTCCTCTGTCTTTTGTTCAGAACTATTACTTTGGCAACTTTCTATCAGAGGTTTTGCGGATTATATGTATCAAACTTTCTTTCCAAAGACAGTAAATTATTCAAATATCTTGAGCTCATATAGCTCCTTCCTTTCTGTATGACTGGGCATCTCATAATTCCACAATCCCAGGTGAAGCAATGTTAGCAAACAGTTAGGATCTTTCCTAACCATTAGTGTTCTATACTTCTGTTATGCTTTTGTAATAAAAAAAACGGTTAAGGGAAATAATCTGTGCCACAGACTGTGCTAATTAGATTGAACCTCAAATGAGCATATGAGAAAGTCTTCTGAAAGACGAACGGAAGTCAAAATACTCAAGACATAGTTAGCAATTACCAGGCTTTCAAAGGCAGAGTCTCTTCTCCTAATACTCCATTAAATTGCAACTGTAAAGAAGAACATGGCAAATGTAGCCATTTGGATGCATGCAATCATTCTTTCACATGCCATCCTGACTTGAAAAAGGAGATTCCAGAACAGAGTGGTATTAGAAAAACTAGAAAGCAAAGTCGATGTCCAATTTCACTTGAAATGCTATGGGGAAAAAAAATCTGCTAAAAAGTCTTTGTGAAACTAGATTCAGTTTGTGGAGCTTTAAAGAAAGGGAATTGCTTAACACAGATAAAGAAAACCAGAGAAAAGTACTTAAATTTAAGTTGAAATGCTAGAATTTTTGGGTAGTATGTTAAATATTGCCTTAGGACACAAAAGGTCTTAGAGAACAATGTTGCTATCCTATCAAAGAATCTTAACGTCATCCACGTGAGAAGATTCCTTATCAGTAAAAAGGGAAGACAAGACCAATGGAGGAAGGTGGTGCTCACATAAGTTCAATGAGGCAATAACTGAAAAATTATAGTTGAATTTTTGCCCTAAAGCTCTTCTAGAAACAAAAATCCTTCCACGCCAGAAGTGTTGTGTTTCTTGTTTTACTTGCGGATTAGTCTCTGAATGGCATTATCTGAGTAGCCCCTACAGCAGCAAATCACCTGATAAAAATAATATTCTTTTTCTCTTCCCCACAAAAGTTAAAGCCTGCTACAAAATAAACAAACCAATGGATCAAAATACAAAATTTATCTTTCAATCTTTTCCTCTCTTTCCACTTACAACTTCATCTTCCCTACCCAGAACTTTAAATGTATCCCCCATCACTTTCTCATTTATTCTTCAAACTCTTCATGCATTTCTTCTTCCCATACTATTCAATCACTTTCCTATTTCCTTTTGTCTTGAAATAATTTCAATAGTTTTAGTCCCTCTCAAAAACATCCACTGTCTTGCATGATCTTCACATTACATGGTCACTTCACTTCAAAAGAATCCAGCGATTTTTTTTTCTCAACTTTTTTGTCTTGTTTTTCACCCTAAAATACTGCCCCTCACAGAGAAAGCATCCATTTTTGAATACAGAAGGAGGAAGACAGATTATTTTTTTTTTGCCCCAAAGTTGCTTTTTCTGCTCTTTCAATGAGCGTAAAGACACTACTACTCTTTTTCTGTATTTCTTGTTTGACTTAAGGCCAACCCATTTCCTGCATGTTATGGCTTTTTTTTGGTCAGAGCTAGATAAGAACTTGGCTTATTAAGAGAGAACCACCCAAAGAAAGTTCAGAGAATTAGTGGTATTACCATGATTTTTAGAAAAATTCGTAAATGTCCTCTCTTACGTTTTGAAGGGGTTTACCACAACAAAAGGTCTAGAGATTTACTTTTGTTTGAGGGAAAGCTGAAATTAACTTCGGAATTGTAATATTAATCACTTACCTTACATTGTTGCTAGTGATTGGTATTCGAATCAGTTCCATTAATGAGGTTCCACCACCTAGTTCCCAAAAATGAGCTACATCTTTAGGCTGTAAAAGAGTTAGAAATGTCTGCTTCCATGCAACACCAAGAAAAGAGCTTCATCTGATAAACTGGCTTTTCATGCAAGTCACTCATAACATCTCAATAGTATTTTCTAAAAAACCAAACCCAACACCCTTCCCCCCATATTAAAGAAATCCCATACAACACTTAGGAAAGACTCCTGGCATGCCTATGACTGACCTGATAAATGACTACAGTAGAGTAAAAAAGTCAGGAAGCAGCATGATTAATGATAAACATTAAAAAATCAGGTTCTTTTCCCTTTCTTTTTGTTTATGGCACTTCAAGACTAATCCTTTTTGAGAAGTCTGCAACTGGAAAAGTAATGAATCTTCACCTTTGAATTTAGTTTCTGGGAAAAGTTTTGAGTGATTTTTATCTTTCAGACAGTCAGATTTTTCACTCCCTGATTCAGTAATAGAAACAGCAATTACCTGCAGCAATAATTATTGCTGCTGTGCAGTGTTGTGCTGTAACAGGAATGGGTTTGGTATTTCTGTTAACATATTCTGCACTGCAAAGTTTAGTGATATGGACACATAACCCAAAAATTTAATTATGCTTTAACACCCTCTGAGATGATTGCTTCTGTCATAAAACTGATTTTAAAGTATCTTCATCCGTTTGTACTCATTTCGCATTCTAAAGACAAAGTTAAAGGCATGCACCCTGTATTACAATGGGAAAATAAAAGTACTAGAACATGACAAACAAGGTAGTTTTTATAGATGAATCTTACTGCTTTGTGCTATACTTTGCTCTCTGGACTAGTCTTGTTTCAGCGAGAGGGAAAAACATGCTACAGATTAAAATACAAAATTAAGCTAGCTAATTCAAATAAAATTCTATTTTAAACCCCTTTTTATTGCACAAACAAGAAGCTAGAAATTCTTAAGATTCCTATACATAAAAATATACACACATCTATTATTTTTATGTGTGTATATACATATCCCTCTTGTAAACTATATTTTCTGTATACTCACTGTATTGTGTCTCTTTGCCCTTCTTCCAAAAGTATATTCCAGGGCTAATGTTGGCTTTGGACTCTCTTCCCTAGGTAAGGAAAAAATAACTTCATTTTGTCAAGATCTTCTAAATAAAGAAAGTTAATTCTACAGTTACTAAATTGTATTTATCTATCAGTTCAGCATTTGGCTGAGAAACAGCAGTACAGAGAGGACACTTTAAGACAACAGGTCTCAGTTGCTAAAGACAGGGGAATTAACAGCACCTGTGTGAAGAGATGGCCATTTAAGCTCTCTAATTCTGGAGAAGGACTGAAGGGGTCAAATGACAGGTAGTAATGAAAGTGACCAACTGGCCACAGGAGACAACATCTGTATACATACATTATGAAGTATCACACAATAAAACTATTTATGTAAAATTCTAATCTGTGGTTGAAAACTACTCTTAAAAATTTAGCACATACCTCTCCAGACACCTCAGCATAATAGTGGTCTTTCCCTGGAAATGAAAAACAAAGAACAACCCTACTGTACTGTCATTAAAGCATAAAAGTTGTATTGCTAAAAGAAACTCACTCATTTGACATTCCAATAATAAAGTACTGGAAAAGCACAAACTCATGTAATTGTCTGTAGCCTTATAGTGGAAACTTCACTGCCAGCTTTCTGTCAGAATCAAGTTACACTATCATTATTTTAATTACAAACTAATAGAGATGATAAACACAGTAATAGGAATAGTGCGCTTAAAATTAGACATTAGTGATCAACCTGACCAACTTTCTTTAACTGTTTAATAGAATTAAATTAATAACACATGTATGTATTGTTTGGTTTCCACTGGAACAAATTATTACTGATGAGATGGAAGTAAAAAGAATGCTTAAAATGCATACAGTAAATGTTGTTGCACTGTTGAAATTCAAACACTGAGTTCCATGGCACACTGAAGGGGCTCACACTGCTACAGTCTATTCCTGTGTCACTTGCTATTTCAAATATCACTGAATTTCAGGTAAATCTGAAAAGTAACTGTATTTTCTCTGAAAAGGTATTTTACAAATTGCTGATAAAGAGCTTGCACATACACCAATCCTTCTAAAATAAAAACTGTATTCTAAAAAAATACGATTCACTTGGTCAAAAAAAATCTCTGTATTTACTTTACAAGTAAATGATAACAGAAAAAAAAATATTGAAAATCCTAGTGGCCAAACTTAGGGGACAATGCATTATAACAACAGTAAGCAGGTGGAACAATGAGTTTGCAATTACTGATAAGGCACTTTCAAACAGGCCAGGCATAATACAGACATAATTCAAAGCAGGCTTTGCCTTTGTCAAGGCTTCTGTGTACAACAAAACTGTAGACTTCTGTCTACAACTCTAATTGGATTGTTAACTAGTTAAACCTTTACGAGGGAAAATTTGTCATGTCAAACAATTAAAGAGTAGAACTATTTCTAGCAGTTACTTTTACAAAAATTAATTAAGCCAAACCTCAAAGAGTTATCATCAATAACAATGGTTGAAGTTTGGACTCTCCAAACCATAAACTTGAGCTTTTGAATTGTAATAATGTCTAACTGGTCCACACTCAGTGGAATGCCCACTCTCAGGCAGGATCAGAACATGACATATTTTGCCCTCAGAAGAATTAAGCAGACCTTAATATCTGAAAATGAGATACTTTCCCTGAGACAAACTATGTTTGAAAAGCACAGAATCATATAGTATTATTATCATATAGAGTTACCCCGTTTTTGTTTCCCATAAATAATACTGATTTTTCCAAAACTTCCACGTGCTTGCCAGTGTCATCAGGGTTTTCTCTCTTCTCTACTTCAGCCACAGCAAGATCCCATAAAGTATCACTAGTTGGAAAAACAAAGTAAGAGCATCGTAAGGGAAAAAAGAACGTAGCCTAGACTGTAAATCCTGAAAATATAAACATGAATAAATGAAGGACATCGCATTATATTTTTTTTTTTTTTTTTTTTTTTTTTTTTTCTTCACACCACATGCCCTCTGCTTGACAAAGTACTTCTAACAAAGCCAAGTTGAGCACAACTCCTCAGGGAACCCCAGCAGTGATTCGTGGCACACGCTGAGGAAACACCCGCTGTGAGCAGGTCTGAGCACCATTCCCAGGTTTTCCATCGAACTTCCCACCGCACCCTGCGGGCAGGCGAGCGGTCCCGGCACCGGGGGCTCCCGGACACCGGCAGCGGAGC